GCGGCTCACGCCTGTCATCCCAGCACTTTGGGAGGCCGGGCGCAGCGGCTCCGCCTGTCATCCCAGCACTTTGGGAGGCCGGACGCGGCGGCTCACGCCTGTCATCCCAGCACTGTGGGAGGCAGAGGCAGTCGGATCATGAGGTCAGGAATTTGAGACCAGCCTGACCAGCATGGTGAAACCCCGTCCCTACTATAAATACAAAAATTAGCTGGGCATGGTGGTGGGCGCCTGTCATCCCTGCTACTCAGGAGGCTGGGGCAGGAGAATCGCTTGAACCCAGGAGGCGGAGGTTGCAGCGAGCTGAGCTTGTGCCACTGCACTCCAGCCTGGGCAACACAGCAAGACTCTGATGTCAAAAAAAAGAAAAAGAAAACCACAAGGGATCGGTAAGAACTCCAGGAACTCATGCTGCAGCAAGGCTTCAGGAGATGAGGAGAAGAGAAAGTATCAATGACCTCCCTAGATGTTCATGGCACCAGGTGCCGGCCAGGACATGGGGCAACAGAAACTCCTGTTCACCGCTGGAGGTAACGCAGATGGTGTAGACTCACTGCGAGGCAGTCTGGCGGTTTTTCCAGACGATCCAGCAATCGTGCTGCCTGGTGTCTACCCACAGGAGTGGAGCTCCTGCACCCACACAGAAACCTGCACACGGACCTTTACTGCAGCTGTGCTCATAACTGCCGAACTGTGGAAGCAGCCCAGATGGCCTCAGCAGGCGAGTGGGTGAATTAACTGTGGCACATCCAGACAATGGACTACTATTCAGCAATAAAAAGAAATGGGCTGTCAAGCCTCAAAAAGACATGGAGGCAGCCAGGCACCCTCACGCCTGTAATCCCAGCACTTTAGCAGGTCAAGGAAGGAGGATCGCTTGAACACAGGAGTTTAAGCCAACCTGGCCAACGCTGTGAAACCCCGTTGCTACAATTTGTGTGTGTGTGTGTGTGTGAGACAAAGTCTCGCTCTATCGTCCAGGCTTCGGTGCAGGGGTGCGATCTCGGCTCACTGTAGCCTCCGCCCCCTGGGTTCAAGTGATTCTCCTACCTCAGCCCCTCAAGTAGCTGGGATTACAGGTGCGCACCACCACGCCCAGCCAGGTTTTGTATTTTTAGCAGAGACGGGGTTTCACCATGTTGGCCAGGCTGGTCTTGAACTCCTAAACTCAGGTGATCCGCCCGCCTCAGTCTCCCAACGTGCTGGGATTACAGGCGTGAGCCACTGTGTCTTGCTCAAATTATTTTTTTAATTAGCCAGGTGTGGTGGTGCACGCCTGCAGTCCCAGCTACTCAGGAGGCTGAGGTGGGAGGATCACTTGAGCCCAGGAGTACACGGCTGCAATGAGCTATGATTGCACCACCGCACTCCAGCCTGGAGAACAGAGCAACATCCTGCCTCTAAAAAACAACAACAAAAGTTTCCAGCCAGCAGCTCCCTCCCTGAGGATGCAAAGAAGCACACTGCCTGACTCAGGTGTCCCTGCCACTGCAGCCCATGTCAGGCCTCGCAGGGGAAGATGGCCTGCCTGGACCATGCATCTGTGTCCCCACCCAGGTTCATCTGCTCAGACCACCACAGCCAGGACACCCAGGGCAGAACCAGCCAGCAAGGGATCAGGGCCCAGCACCCTGACTCTGGCCTTCACCTGTGCTGTGAGCTGGGGGCCAGGGATGCGTGCTAGGCAGGATGCACGCCCACTCGTGGCAATGACAGGAATGCCGAGGCCTCACAGCGACCTGAGGAAGGACCCGACTGACAGGCCCACAGAGGGCGCCTCGGCAGGGAGCTCCAGACAGATGGGCGGGTACACAGCCCTGGCCACACCTCCACCCACCCTGCTGAGGAGACAGTGAGGGGCGGGCACCGCCTAGGAGGGGACTGGAACTGTACGCCACCTGTGTCCCTCATTGGTCCCTCTGAACTGTGAGACTCGACTGACAACAGGACCTCTGAACACCTTGTTTCTGTTGCTTCTCAAACGTGCAGATTCCACCCAGGAACTGTGTTGCCGCAGGCACCTGGGATCACGAGTTGGCCTTGCCATGTTCCGTCCTGAGCTGCTCTGCTGGGCAGCTTAGCGACTCCTGCGCCATCGTCCTCCCAAGGTGGTGACCTGGCGACCGCCCTGCCCAGCACTCCTTCCGCCTTGTCAGGGAGGCCTCTCAGGACTCAAGGGGCTGCGGGCTCTGTACTCCAGGGGCTCCAAGTCTAGAACAGGAAGCACCCACCTTCCTGCACCCCAGACCCCAAGCCACCCTCCAATCCACATCACAGGAGCAGCTGCGCCAGCACCGAGCCCACACCCCACGAGGGCGGGGAGGGGATGGAGTCCGCAGGTCTGAGACACTGCTGGGAGGCAGAGCCAATGGGCCCCAAGCACCGTCAGACTCCACCACAGGTGAGCTCCTGGGCAGCTGGGACTGGGAGGAGGAGAGCACAGGTCAAGGAAGGACTCAGCTCTGCAGGCCTCTGTGTGGAAAGGACCAGGGTGGAGCCTGGTGTCTAAGGACTTAGCACGGGGTGGGAAGGAGTCCGGGGAGGATGCAGGAGTGGCAGCTCCTCCTGGAAGCTGTGGCCCAGTAATCACCAGACCTGGGTCAGGAAAACCGTCCTTCCTGCTCCCTAAAGAGCATCCCCTTCCCACGCCCACTCCCATCCCACTGCCACTCAGCCATCGAGGGGAGTGCACACCCCGCAGGGACAGCCACACGCGGCGCCATCCACACGCGGCGCCATCCACACGCGGCGCCATCCACAGGGTACACGGGAGGAGCACCTCAGACCGCATCACGACAGGGCGGAAGAGAACACTGCCCACCCCGAGGTTGCTGGCTTGTCATGAAGAACATGGCACTGAGGACCAGGAACCCGACCAAACAAGGCTGTCCCCAGTGAGGGATGACACCCCAAGGACGCTGCAACCAGCCCAGAACCCAGCCTGTCCCACAGGCCTCCGCTCCGTGGAGCCCCGAGCCCGTTCCCTGAACCGCCTCTGTGCACCGCAGGCTGCCGATGGACAGAAGCCATGTCACAGAGGATGGCAGCGACAGTGCCAACAGAGGCACCTGCTGCGGGCTCAGAGGCCACGCCCAGGCAGCCCTATAAGAACCAGAGGGGACTCCAGGGGGCACGCCATGTGCCAAAAGCCATGTGCCAACATTGGCAAGAAAGGAGGGGCTAAGAGGAGGGTGGGAGCAGGGATGGGGCCGGCGATGGGAGCCAGGGCGGAGCGATGGCACTCACTGTGTATTCTGCATGCTTTTTTCCATACCATTTCATCCACTTCCTGAACTCGCGGTCCATGGTCTGGAAGGAAAGAAACCAAACGCCCATTACAAACTCTCAGGGCAGTGGGGCCTCAATGCGCCCGCCTGGGCAGGCCACCCAAAACACCCCACTTCTCAGAGGGCTGTGCCATGAGGTGGAGCTGAGCACTTCCCGCCTCACTTGTGGCACGTGCTGTGAAACAGGCTCAGAGACGCCCACGCAGCGCTTGGGCAGGCCTGGAGGGCCGGCCTGTGATGGGCCGTGAGGGCATGCGGGCACCCTATTCACAGGCACACCCTGCAGGCAGCTAAGACGTCTTGGGCCTGGAAAGAATGCCGCCCAGACTCGGAAGTCCCACAGCAGTGGGGTGGAGGCACCCAGGGCATCACTTTCTCTGATGGTCCCCTGCCTCCAACACACCCTGGCGCCCAGACCTGCTCACCTCCGCATACTTGGCCGGGATGTCCGCTTTCTCGACGCCATAGTGATGTTTGCAGTTGGTGGCAGCAGCGACCTGGAGCACAACCTGGCCCACACCTGTGATCAGAGAGATCCATCAGATACCACACAGCACTCAGATGCCACCCAGGAGGCCACGACAGCCTCGGAGACAGAGGCCACAAGGATGCAGCCATGAAGACCCACAGGGGAGGCCACAAGTCTCCACACATATCCGATGCTGCAAGGCCACTCAGGGTGAGACCAGGCCCCCAGTAGAGCCCCCACGAGGGGATGGTCATCACAACGTGTCATCCATGGACATTACTTGGTGGCCCCCGAAACCCAGAATTCATTTTGAGTCTAAAGGCCCTATGTGGTGTTCACTGTTCAGACAGGGCTGCCCGAGACTTGGCAGGTCTGGAAAGGCTCCCGTTCACCTCAAATTATCCCTGCGTCACCACCACACAGACACAGAGCAACCTGGCTGATGAAATCTCATGGCACCCCAGGAAGGCTCATGAGCGGGACTGGACTGAGACTCGATGTGGGGTGGGAGAGGCAGTGAGGAGCCCCTGCAGCCAGGACCGTCTCCCAGCCGCCGCGGTTTCACAGCGTCAGCGCACAACCCAGCAACCCCCGGCTCTAAGGGAGGAGGAGGGAACGGGGGCTGCAGATGTGCCAGCGTCAGGAGGGCGGAGGCAGCAGCACACACTGTGGGTGTCAAGCCGCCTCTCCTCCCCTGCTAGGCAGCTCTGCGCTCCAGGGAATGAACCACGGCGCAACCACAGCAGGCACAGACCGCCACCACCACAGCAGCGGGAAGAGAAGCACACAGGGACAGGGGCCCAGAGCCGGGCCGGCAAGTGCTAGGCCGTCATCTAAAACATATACGCCTTTTTAATTTTTTGTTTTTGAGACAGGGTCTGACTCTGTCGCCCAAGCTGGACTGCAAGTGGTGAGATCCTGGCTCACTGCAGCCTCAATCTCTTGGGCTCAAGCAATCCTCCC